CCCAGGGTTCAGATCCTATATAGGAACGGCCGGTGTGCTCACTGGCTGAGCGCGGTGCGGGCGACACCACACCAAGGGTCGCGATCCCCTTACCGGTCGCGATCCCCTTACCGGTCACGATCCCCTTACCGGTCACGAAAAAGACAAAATAAATAAATAAATAAATAAAATAAAAAGTTCCCTTAGGAGAACATGTCTTGTGTGCCTATAAAAGGGTAACATGAGAGATCCTGTGGTGATGAAAATCTTATGTATCTTGACTGTCTTGACTATGTCCATGTCAATATCCTCACTGTGATATTGTAGTACAGTTTTTCAAGATGTTACTATAGGGGGAAACTGGGTAAAGAATATGCTCTGTATTATTCCTCACAACTGTAAGGGAACCTACAATTACCTCAAAATAAAAAGTTTAATTTTCAAAAATCAAAGTTAAAAAAAAAATTCACTGTTTATGGTACAGAACACCACTGAAATGCTCAAATCATGTAATTATAAAACATAACCACTAGATGGAGGCAAAGTACTTACAGTTGGTGATGTAGCAGCAGATAGCAAAGGTAAAATTCCTCCACAAGCAATGATGATGTTGTCTACCATTTGGGAAATGAGGTGAATTGTGTTATGTACAAAAATAATATTTTCATTGCTATTGACAAAATCCATTACAGACTTTGTAGAATGGCTAAAGTAACAGAAAAAAAAAAACAGAAATAAACATTTCCTTGGCTTGAGAATAAAAGGTTTAGACTATTTAGAATAACAACATTTTTAAAGTTTATATTGTACAGGATATTCAGAAGAGCTAAACAAATTTAAAATGGAGTTATTAGAAAACAATTTACAATTGAGATATTCTATAACCAGAAAGTAAGCATTCATCTCTGCAGGGTTTATTGTGTCCAAGCATATAAACTCAATATTTTGTCTCTGCTTAAAAAATATTAACTAGGTTCTAAGACATATGTCTAGGTCAATAAACTTGGCTAAAACTATTTATTTATTTTTTTGCCAAAGCTTGCTGTTTGTGTTGAAAGGCAAAACAACTGGATAGCTTGAAAGTTTTACCTTTCAGACACTTTCAATTTGTCACATCACTAATAACTGCAGACCCACCTTTGACTGTGTTGAAAATGTATACTCTTATAACAGAAGTGACGTGATAGGGGAGTAGAAATGAATCAGTAAAAATTCAAGGACTTATTGAACGAAAGAAAGAAAAAGATATCGAAGCAGGTCAGCACTGCTTTCCCACAAGAAATATGCAATGTAGATGTGCAAAACATACAGTGCTTTAGTTTGGTGTCAGTCAAAAATATAAACTGTTTTCTAATGGGAAAAAATGAAAAAAATCAATTACTCCATGATCAAACTTAAGTCAATGATTCTCACCTATTAGAGTTGTAAAATATTATCTACTATATCTTGGATTTCAAGATGCTTTCCCCTGTCCTAAAAATAAAGTACTATCTTTAAGAAATTTAAATTACATAAAATTCTATTGGGGGAATTTCACGAGAGCCATGAAAGGAAACAAAAACATACAGTATGATGATGGAAGGAAAGCTGAGTATCACTTCCTTGGGAGATACTAATATTATAATTAGTAAATTACATTATTCATCTCAATAGATTGATCTTCATGATAATGTTAATGTACTTTCATGATATTTCAGTTTCCTTAATTACCATCCCCAGGTAATTTAGCATATAATCACATCAGCAACGAAAGATATGAGCAGCCTAAGACCAAATTGATCAAATAAAATCAAAAGTGAAAACTTTCTATGGCTGACTTTATTGACTGCTTCCGTGACAGTCATGACTTCTTCCTTGCTAACACATTCTAGATTCTGTTCTGTTAGTGAGCTGTACTGGAAAGGCTGGCCTCACCCCAGTTACCAGGATTGGTCCGTACAGGCCAGTCACTATAATCACATTCCCTTTTGCTGTTCAATGATTTAAAAATGAGCATGTGATCCTGCTAGCCCATGAGACACAAGAGGGAAATTTCTTGCGGGGCTTCTTTTAGGGGGGAAAAAAAAAGAGAGAGAGAGAGAGAAAGAGACAAAAAAGAGAAGGAAAAATAAGAGGAATAGAAAGAGGAGAGAGAAGAAGAGGAGGGAGAAGAGAAAAAGGAAGAGGGAGAAGGAAGAAGATGAAGAGTCCTCGCCTTTTAATTTGAGCAAGTTTCTTATGTTGAAGTGATGCTAGGAGATGAAGCAGCTGTCTTAAATCCTAAAAGGAAAATTAGGAGAAGCAGAGAAGCCAACTTGAGTCCTGAGAATGTCGTGCCACTGATTGTATAAGCTGCTGATGGTGGGGGGGTAAACAG